TTCTTATTGTTTATTTTTTTATTTGTTGAAAAACCTGGTAGATCATCTACGTGAGCTTTCACATGAGGGGTACATATAAAAAAGCGAAAAGTTGAAGTTCGCGAGAAGTGACTCAACGGCCGTTTATAAGTCAGCAAAGTTGACGTGACGGACTATGTTTTACTTCTCCAGTTGATGGCTTTCTTGATAAAAAAAGATTAAAATGCTTGGCGCTGAAGGGACGGTATATAGCTTTAATATAGCTGATGTGTTAAGAGACGTAATTAGCTGCATTTAAGAATTTGATTGCTGCAATGGGCGTCATGAGCTTAATAAACCTGATCATGAAAAAAACAACACGAAGAAACACCAATTTGAGCTTTAAGTTCGCGATACTGCTTCGTAAACTTGTCGTAAGTCATACGTATGCCTTGTATAGACGAATTTACGTCGATCGATTTTCTTTTTTTTGCACTATGTCTGTGTAGCATTGAGAAAAGCAACGTTCGATTCCTTCTTTTCTGTATGGATTTAATGAAAGGGCCATGAAAGGATAAAAAATGCTAGTAGGCACGAAACCAATATTGCCATGACGACGGGTCACCGAATTGGACACGCCTCCTCGCGTGACACATAAGACACGCCGTCAGAGAAGTAGAGTTCTGAGTCGTCGCGGAATGCCTTTGAACTTGTGCGATCACGTATCTCGTTTCTAAGTTTCAACGGGTGTGCAAAAACGTTCTCGACCGGCACAATCATCGTGAGAAGAATACTGTATGCACCTCGAACCCTTGTCTACGGTGTAAGTTTTGATCCTCCATAGATTTGCTATACACCGTTCGTTTAAGGAGTTTGCTGTAGTGTCTCATCGTAATCACTGCAAAATGACACAGAGAGAGTTGAGTAGTTCACAATGTAGAACCAATTTCGGCAGCGCGAGGAAGGCGCGCGGTAGAACTTTTAGACTTGATGAGCTTGTGGATGTGCTTTAAATGGAACCTAACTTTGTGAAATAAGCTCGCCGTAGTGGAGTAGTTTGTTTCCACGTGCATGTCTAAAAGTGGCCTACATGTTATCGACATAGTTATTGTCTCAACTTTGTAATATTTACTCTGCCATGCCCAGCTATGGTTGTGGATTACGTATGAAAGAAAGCCAACGTCTTTAGCTGTAACTACCATGCTTTTATATGAGCATCGATGACATCATGAAACATGACCATTGAGGATAGGCGCGTGCGTTCGAATGGCAAGCGCTATACCGCAGGAAGTTCACATGGCCAGCACCTAAAGGTACAAACAATATCGCCACTATCAACTTAATGTGTAGTGCCGTTTGTAGTAGGCAAACAACACCACACAAGCTTATTTGCCTGCCTAGGCGAGCTTTTCATCCCCAGCTTTTTTGCCAATACCTGTGATATAGGTCCTTTTATCAAAATATTTCTTTATCTGCGTGTTTGTACTCAGCAAGATGTGTGAAACAAAACATGATTCATTGATTGATGGATACGTGGGGTTTAACATCCCCAAACCACCATACGATTATGAGAGACGCCATAGCAGAGGGCTCCGGAAATTTAGACCACCTGGGGTTCTTTAACGTGCACCCAAATCTGAGCACACGGACCTACAGCATTTTCGCCTCCATCGAAAATGCAGCCACCGCAGCCGCGCTTTGATCCCACGATCTGTGGCTCATAGCCGAGTACCTTAGCCACTAGACCACCGCGGCGGGAGGGAAACAAGACGAGCAAACAAAAAAAGAATGCTTGGACTGTAACTTCAATGCACCCAACACTTTCTAAAATTAAGCGCTTCTTTTGCAGCGTTTATATATAGGCACTTCAAGCATTACTAGCGATTTTGCACATGCCGTTGAAAGACGAAAGCATTTTCGATGAGTTTTTCGAAAATATCGCTGAAACTCGCTCCATTTTCACAGCTGAGATTGCGTGCGATTACGTAATCGAAGCAAGGAGAAATGCGCAGAAGCACTCCATCCCCCTCTCCCCCTTTTTTTAGCTTTATCAAACTAACGACGAGTAGCTCGTATGTTTCGCTGTCTCCGTACGTGCCCAGCCCTCCTTGAAGATAGCGTTAGCGAATTTTCACGACGCTTCAGTTCGAAGAAGCATCGCTCATGCGGCTTTCGAATCGGGTCGACGTATTCAATATGAAACAGAGCAGACTGTAATCAGACCGTATTCGACCGGGCTATGTGTCATTTCACAGGAAGCCTCCGAAGATAAGCGTCTGACCAGTGCGTCCTGTGCATTCATAAACAGCGGGTCGCATTTGCTGTCTGCCTATAAAAAAAAAGGGGGGGGGGGGGGGGGCTGACGGATGGGGAGTTCGGGCGGAAAGCGGCTTTAAGAACAAAAGTTCGTTCCAAGCGGGGCGGGTGCGCGTTTGGCCTTGGCACTCTGCCGGTGCCGAAGATCCGCTCACCAGAGCTGCTCATTAGTCCGCTCACGTGAAACGGGGGTCGCTCGAATGGTACGTCGCAGTCATTCGCGGATTGAGCTGCTCTCGCATAGCGCGCGCCAGCCGAAGTCGCTCCAGTGCACTGACTTATTAGTCAATATTACTAGTGTGCGCACTGATGTGGAGCTCGGAATCTGAGGATACGCTGACAAGTATCGAATTTCTCAAGACGGGCGAACGGCTACAGTCGACGTAAGTGAAATGTTGCCTACCATTTATTGCTATTCGGGTCTTTTTTCTTCACGCGTCTATTATCTTTTTACCCCACCCACATGAAGTGAACACTGATATGGTTCTGCCGAAACAATAATTTGTCGATTACTTAACTAAGGCCCTCTGTTCTTTGAGGCAGCTTGCTTTTTATTAATTAGATTACAACTGATCCAAGGCGCGTTCATACGTTCTAACGCAATTAGTTTAATTGTAATGCACAGTGCCATTGTCAGTGGTGCCGTTATTTTCATTCTTCCTGACTTATACGATTGTATCGAATACAAGTTTTGTAGAACTGACCGCAACATTTTACTATTATCTCTAGATGCTTGTAGCTTTAGTTGAGATACTCCCGTAAACGTAAACTGAAGTAGAATAAATGGTTTGCGTTTCGGTGCGAGGGGCGTCGCAGTAGAAAACTTCAGAATAATTTCGTTCTCCCTTGAAGTTCTTTAACACGAACCAAATGAACACTTTAACGCATCGGCTTTGCACTGATAATTTTGTCGTAAGCCTGTGATCAAATTTTTTTTACACATTCGCTTCGCAGCTGCAGAAAGAAGGGGAGAAAATATGGTAGTTAGCTAAACTTATTGCTGATACATAATTCACGATTCAATCCTGGTATTAGGAGCAGAGTGACGAAAGATACGATATTTCAGCTCCTGGCAGGCATATCTTCTGTGCGAAAAACGTTTTCGCGGTGAAGTGTGATATGTGGGTAAGCGCAATGCATGACAAGAGTTTACGATATACTGCAACGGTTGTCCATATGATAGCAGGGTTACTGGCTGGGTCAAGCATGCCTGAAGAATCACTGAAGCATTACCAGGGGCCTAGCTAGAATTTTATTTCGGGAGTAGGGAAGGGTGAAGTTCAATCATGCTGCGTGTATGCTCACGCGTGCATTTGCATGCGTATACGTGACCCCAGCACAATATATACACATGCCAAATTTAAGCGTCTCTCACAATCATATGGTGGTTTTGGGACGTTAAACCCCACATATCAATCAACATGCCTAATCTAAAAAAAATTGGGGAAGGGAGTTTTTCTACTCGCCTTCACCAGTGAGTGTTACTGAATTGAAGCCTTCAAATGTCCTGGGCATCAGCTTTTGAATCGTGCGGCAACACATGCAGTCCCCTCGCAAATTCCTGCCGGCATGATGTGAAAACCGGTGACGATCACTGCAGCGCGCGCTTTGGTGTAAACCATTGCGAGGGGTGCGTGTTTGGCAATTAGACTGCATAGTAGTTCCTTCTCAGTTTCAAAATTTGCGTTAACTGTCGCTCGGTTAAGCATTCTCGCACATGATTCTCCTCTTTCGGGCCTTCCGATTCCAATGAATATTTACGATTACATTCTGCACCTCATCAAAGTACTATCACTTTTTTCCGACTGTAAGAGACTCGATCGTCGTAGTAGAGATTTGCCTTTTTGTTTGATGTGAGGTTGGATGCTGAATCCCATTTCTATTTATGTAGGCAATACACTAAAAAATGAAGTTCGCCGCTGCTGAGGTTGACGGACACGTACTACTGTCGGCTGACTTGGATCTCAGCGTTGACACACGCGTGACACATAAGTTTTTTTTTACTTTCTGGGCAACATAGTTGAACACAATATTCAACCGTAGCAGAAGAAAAACAAAAATAATTATTTGCAATCTATGTATAGCGCATAAATTACTATGTAAACCAAAAAGAGGAACGCAGAATGCATGCATTTATTATGCATTAGGTATGATAATCAATAAAGAATATTTAGGAAAAGGCCATGCATTACCAAAATACAGCAGCTTTTTTTGGTTTTACGAAAAAAAATACAATAATTCTGTTTTCTCTAAGTATAATCGCACAATAGTAGCACGATAGTTAATTAGGAGATTTGAAATCGGCGATATCTAAGAAGTTGTTTGTGACGCTCTGATTTGAAGTCCTCGCATTGATGTTTTTTTCTTTTTATTGAAATAATAATAATAATAATAATAATAATAATACTAATAATAATAATAATAATAATAATAATAATAATAATAATAATAATAATAATAATAATAATAATAATAATAATAATAATAATAATAATAATATCTAAACAAAGTCATCGCTGTTTATTTGAATGATTATTGAGACAGAATATCTTGCATAATTCGGCGAAGCATTGCTACCTGTATTCTCATAAATGATTGCGATCGTTGGTACATAAAAAGATTGTTTACTGCGCGCTTCTTTCCTTCAGATTTCTTAAATTTCTTCATTTTTTATTTTAATTGGTGATCCAATGCCTAAAATTGCTGCATACTTCCTTCTTTTGCAGATTCCACATGACCATGATACTACGATTGATTCTCCTGAGCTGGCTCGTAGCCAGTGGTTTCTGCCAAGGTAATTCATTGTTTTCTACACTCACACTTATTATCCACAAAAGTAGTTGGAAAGGTTTCAACGATGATAAGTGGCTTATGCCACACACACTGCCTTCTTGAACCTTCGCAATCACTCAAACGTTACGATTATCGTAAAATATGATTATGGACTTATAAAAAAAAAGACATCAAGATCAATGGAAAGTTGAAGGAACATCACGCCGAATTTTATTTTGCCGTAGCCAAATCCTCCCGCCCTGCGTATTGTGCACGAAGCGGCTTGGATCCTGTATATTTTGTTGTGCGTTACCTGGAACTTACTAATGTTTACTCGTAAACAAACACTGGTGTCTTTGCTCCAAGTTATCAATTTCTCGTGACCTTTGATACAGAATAGAAAGATATTATAAACCACTCGCGAAAGTACACCTCTCTAAAATTTCCATATTTTTAAGAGCATAAGATTTGCCTCCAAACATCAGGAAGTCACTATAAAACTTCAGTATTTCAACAAAGTTCACCGCCAGCGTATGTTAAGGCTGGTACGAAATGAAATGCTCTTAGCACAAACAGCTACAGTGGCCTTCAACTGGGCAGTTTGTATGCACAAGATGAGGTCTCGCTTTGTCAAATAACAAAACATGCAAGCTAGAAATTAGACGTGCGTAAAGGAAATACACTCTATATAGGCCACTTTCTTGAAAAAAGAAAACAGAAACGTTGACTGAGTTTTCTCAAATAGCCGCGGGTGTTAAAAGCTCATAAGCAGACATGAATCTACAGCGGGTGTTATTCCTTACACAGAAGCACCAAAATGCATCAATCCTTAGTATACAGCCAATATAAAGCACTAATTCCTACAGGGTGCCTACATAATCAACAGTGAAATAACTAAGTCAGAGTGAAAGCTTAGTGCTTCGAGTAGCCACGAATATACCTGTAAGGTCCTTACCATGTCTGGCAGGCCCTTCCGAAATCTGACGTTATATACTAGCGAGTGCTCTCACTCATTCCTTCATATTTTATTTCTAATTGCACCATGCATATGACAAGACGATAATCTCTGTACTGTAAATATGCGTAGCTCTGCTAAAGTTTGGCTCAATTGTTTTCTCACCAGATGAGTCGACCACCAGCACAACCGTTGCCAGTGACCAGCCAGTGCCTTCGACGTCCACAGCGACTGGCGACACCACGCCGACGAGCACTGCCAAGCCCGGCGACGACGTCGAGGACGACATCAACGACGCCAACGACTTCGTGGATCAGATCTTGGAGGAGGTGCAGACAAGCGAGACAATCCAGTCCAAGATATCACCCGCGTCCCTGGGTATGCTGCAGTACAACGGATTCGTACTGTCCAACGCGCTCCTATATGGCGTGAACTCGGTGTACCGCAGTGACAACTGCACTTTCCGCTTCGGCGACTCCTCGTTTGACGTGCTCGTGCACCTCGGTGCGCGGGACCTGGCACTCGAGTCTGACTGGAAGAGGACCTGGCTCTTCATACCGTTCGGTGGTAAGCTGGCCGCCAAGGTAGAGGACGTGAGCATCTCCATGGACATTAATGTCGACAACAGCGGCACACCCTCGCTCCGCAAGCTTAAGGTATGCCTTCTGCAACGGGGTGTCATTTTTCCAAGTATAGTATGCGTTAACAATGAGAACAACGAGACATGTCCATCTCTCTAAGTGATTATCAGAAGAAAAAAAGAAAAAAGTGCGACCCGTAACTGTATCCTTAAGATGACACCTCAGCAGGTCAACACAGACATGTGCATGCATTGTGAGGATTGCACAAGTTATGGTACCATGGTGCTATTAGTGGTGCAATTTCTTTTTTTTAAGTATTGCGCTCTGTAGATGTTTTTTGTCACGCGAGTTTTTATGAATATGTTTGTTAGATTTACTGCGCTAACCATGCTGATTTAGTCAAGCGGTATATTATTACTTTTTGAGTCAGAGAGTAAAGAGCGTGCTTATGCATGTGTAAAATTTGCAAAGAACGCAAAGGGAATCGGGACGTTATGCAAGCCCATTAAACCGATGGAGATGAGATAATGCAAGTGAAAACTATTATGTTCATGCAAATAAACTCTATTCCGATGGAGGCAGAAATGTTGTAGGCCCGTGTGCTCAGATTTGGGTGCACGTTAAAGAACCCCAGGTGGCCGAAATTTACGGAGCCCTCCACTACGGCGTCTCTCATAATCATACGGTGGTTTTGGGACGTTATACTCCACATATCAATCAATCAATCAATCAATCAATCAATCAATCAATCAATCAAATGAAAACTCTAGCCCCGTCCACTTAGCTGGTGTAGTATCGGGGTATGCATGTTGCGATAACCTCCTAGGTTTACGCACAAGGTGTGCTTTTTAGCTGTCGCACTTCTGTAGGGTCAAAACTTTCGCATTTTGCTTGCATAATTCTAAGCATCACTGTAAACAACATCCGGACGTGCTCTTTTAATAATTAAGCATGCGAAATTAAAAGCTACACCACGTACCCAATGAACTTCAGGACTGCGTGGTTCGATATCTCAGTTGCCTTCAGACTATCGGCTGCTGACCCTCACATCGCGAGATCGAATCCTGGCTGTGGTGGCTGCATTTTCGATTGAGGCGAAAATAATGCCAACCATTCAGATTTTGGTGCACGTTAAAGAACTCCAGGTGGTGAAAATTGCCGGAACCTTCAACTACGGCGTGTCTCATAATCATATGGTGAATTTGAGACGCCAAACCCCACAATCAATTACCTCCACACTTTTGTTTGCATGAACATGCGCAACATAGCTTGCATGCTGACCCCTGCCAGTAAAAAAAAAAGAATATGCGAACCAACATTCGGTTTCATCTAAATGGGTGTTCTTGTTTAGATTTAGTCAGAGTCACTCGGGCGACAAGTTCCGCGTAGTGCAAGGCACAATAGCGCTCTCTACTCGCTCTTCCGTCGACTAAAGCAAGCCATACAGCTCATCGCGCAACTTCCCGTCGTAGAAAGACAACTTCTGCTAAATGTATAATGTGGCTACTACATCTTATCGGAACGTCCTAATGGTCTGCTCTCAGACGCGCGCAATTTCCGAGTCTACCAGCGTGAACAACTCGAGCACGTGCGGCCTTACCGCATCCGCGCACCGTGTATATCCGAGCCCGAATCTCGATTATGATGGAGCCCGTGTTCACGCAGGTGGCTCGCCTGAGCGACATCCGCATCACCCGGGCGACGGGCGCGAGCGTCCTGTTCAACTGGGCGCTGCGGAGCATCCTCAACTGGGCCGTCAACGCCAACAAAGGCCGCATCATCCAGCTGGTGGAGACGGACGGCGCGATGGCCATCAACGAGGCCATGAAAGACCTGGGCTCCAAGCTCACCTCGCTCAATGAGTTCCGCAAGCGCTAGGTCGTGCGCGGCCACGGGAACGGGCGGGGGAGCGGAAGGTCACGCTGCAGAACGCGCCCGAACTCGAATAAGCGCCCGAGAAAAATCGTGCTCGCCGAGGCACAATAAGCCGCATCTCCCGATGCCCCCGATGAAGCCCAGCTGATATTATAGCCATGTTCAGGGTGTTTTTGTAAAATCCGCGCGTACGTTGTACACTGTGCCGTCTTAGACTTTAGCAGGGCATTACGAATGTGTTCGCGCGCGCCTCCTGCGCCAGCTATTCACTTCGTCAGCAATAATTATACACGCTTTATGAGCGTGCTGAATGGTGTTACTATATCCGCAAGCAATCGTGATTCCAAGTATTGCGCTTCAGCCAAATATTGAGCAGTATACAGTCATTGCAAGAACGCCAAGTACAGCCAGAACTAAAACCACCAATCGAAGCACTAATCAAACTGCATCACCGCGCCGCGATACAGCGCTGTGCTGCAAAATTGACTTTCTAGTGCCTGAACTTAAAAAAAAAGACTTCATCAAGCTTGAAATGAAACTCAAGAACAAACAGGAAAGCCAAGTAAAAGTCTCAAGACTCGAATTCTCGCAAAAACGTATGATGTTACGTGAAACACAAGCTTGCCAGTATTGTATGCGGATATACATATATGTACTTAAGCCCAACGGTATGCAGAAAATGGCCGGCCATTTATGCAGTATCCGTTACAGCGACAAATGCTAAAGTATCTTGACTGAATCACTGCGAAAGAGCTTCCCTTCTCTAGCCCGTTATTTGTCGTCATGTGCGTTCACTTCAATATCGGTAGCAGTGCGTGCCAACCGTACGGAGCACATGATTGTGACAGGACATGTGGGAACGCTGCACTATATATATTCTTCGCGTTTTCTCTTTTCTAGAAAGCACGATAACTGTGATAACACACAGCTGCGACTCGCGGTTTTTTTGTATTTAATGTAATATTATTTTCGTATAGAGTATAGCACACATCAACGTAGCTTTGCGCTCAAACCGGATCGTAATTCCATCGCACGCATGATTAACCAGCGCCTTCACGCGTAAACGAGCTGCGCGGTGAAACTGGTCAATAGCGGTTTCCACGGCACGGAAACATCAGTGGGAGCTGCACTGTACACACAACCGCTACACCACCCGGTGATTTTCTACTACTTCAATAAATGTCCCATGTGTCACGAACGTTGAGTTGTGCTTTTTGCTGGTGCCATTAAAAATTATTGATGACAGCCATGTGCCCTTAGCGTCAACCCTTACAGAGATCTATGTGAAATAACGGCTTCTCTGGTTTTGTTTTCGGCATATGTTTCAATGGGGGTTTATCAGAAACGTGTCAAAGATATGTTTGAGATTCCTCTACGATGATCCCAAACGTATGTCTGGCCTTATCATCATGTATGCGTTGTTATATTATGTTTGCGTTCTTATACTATATATTCCCTTTCCCGTCTCTCAATGGGAAAGAATCGCAAAAAGTCATTATACAAAAAAAAACGAAGCTTGTTGTAAGCGCTTCACGGTGCTTTTTGCTGCTGAAAACAAGAAAAAAAAGACTACGATATATAGCGAGTTCAACCGTTACCCACATTTTTATTTTGCGTCACCGTCAGCTGCTGGAAAGTTCGATAAGTAGCGCATGATGTATGCGCTTTCCTTCGATTGTGCTTCATATTTCATGAGCCTGTCGTGCCCTCCACCCACCATTAAACAATAAGCTTGAGCGAAATCTAGCATGCTAGCATGCGGGACACGGGCGCCGTGAGGGAAACAAATTTATTTGTGGCTTCTCCCTATATCATGGAATTGACGAGTACATTAGCGGTGCTTGGGACTGCAGATTCCTATTAGAATTCTCGGCGCTCTTCAACATTCTTCGGTGAAAGCGACCACCCGAACGTTAGGAAAAGCGATGCGCAAGTGGTCTAAAACGATAACAGTTGATAATAAGAGGATTTTTTGTGTAACTGGTTTCGACAGGCATAGGCTCGTGCAGCTGAAATTCTCGCATGCGCACGTGCCCGCCACTGGAGTGAAAACGCCGATTCATTATAATCGATCGAGGCATTGTTCATCACGACTGACAAAGTTTTTCGGCCATGCGGGCCCCCTCATGCACGCAACAGGCCGGCTGTGGGCTCAGTTGCCCCTACAAAATCTCAAGTCAAGCGTTGGCCTTCTACGGCCAAGAGATGCCACGGTGTTCTACGCTAGGCTTCCTCTTGTTTCTTGCGATATTTGCGATGATTTCAGGTGAGTGTGCAAAGCAACGCGGTGGCCGTCAGTGAACAAAAAGAAAGACTGAACTCATTATAGCTCAGCGATGTTGAGTTGTTGGTAATACTAATAATCTTTGGGGTCCCACGTGCCAGAATCGCAATATTATTATGAGACACGTCTCCGACAGTTTCGACCACCAGGGGTTCTTTAACGTGCACCTGAATCTAAGTACACGGGCCTCGACCATTTCGTTTCCATCTAAATGCGACCGCCACGGCTGGAATTCAATCCCGCGACCTTCGATTCAACAGTCGAGCTCCGTAAACATTGTACACGGTGTTTACGGCGCTGAAACGAATTGTTGAATTGCTAAGGCTTACGCCGTTGAAGCCACCCGATGATTAAGTTTAGCGGTACAATGCCCCGAAACTGCGACACAGACAGTCGATGTGGAGAGCTCCGAAGTGGTTCTGTCCACCTGTGGTCATTTAATGCGCACTTTTAGCCTAAGTGAACGAGTAATTTTGCATTTCGTCCATATCAAAAATGTGGCCACCTCCCAGCCAGGAATTGAGCCCAATGACATGGTACTCTGAAGCTACAGCTATCGAGCTATCACGCTTACATTTATAGCCCACAGCAGCCTACCCGCTGCTAAGTTGAAAAGTTGATATATAGGTAAATAGCTTCAGCGAACTCTGGATGAATAACGGAAAGTAGTCAAATTAACAGATTTTATCAGAAGTGAAACAAATGATCATGCATATATAAGGGCAGTAGTTAGTAACACACCGGGGCCCATTCAACAAGTGGTGAATGAGATATAGGTGCACAGCCGGAAACTTAGTTAGCTTGGTGGGAGAACACGTTTGTTTGGTGGGAGAGAAAAAGCACTAATGAGAAACGTTACCTTCTTTGAACGGTGGGTTGACCACGTTTAGCAGAATTTAGCCTAGGTAGTTTTTGCTCCCATCTATCCCTTACAACAGCGAATTCTTTTTTCAAGAGTGCATGGTCTATTTACCCCCCCCCCCCTCCCACACACACTCATAATCAGTGTTGTCTTTTCTAACGACAAAACTTTTCATCCGCAAACAACGCACGGACCATCGCTGTCGTTGGCTCAACGTTCTCGTCGGCAGGTAGCATTTCGTCTCGTTGTAAAGTCTCGCTTCAGGGAGAACGCCGTTTAATTGGCCTGTTTTTAATTACATGCAGTAGAGCGTGAAAGCGCAAACGAGCTAGTCTTGAACTGGACATGCGCGAGCCATTTCAACGCGAAGGGGTGCGTCTTTGTTTGTACAAACACGTCGTATTCAACGCAAGTAAGGAAAAAAAGTACTAAAATAACGAAAAATCTAGATTTGTTCTTGCCTCTATACTGACCTGGCTTATCTGAGTCACGTGCTAGCCGCATTCTATTGCCAAGGTCGGCTGCTTTGAAATGTATATTAAGAGCAAAAGCAAGTGCTGACACGCAGAAGGGAACGGATGGTCGTACCCACGTATCAGGCTTCAGCGGGCTCCAAACAACTATTATCTGTATCCCGAGGAAAGCGAGAAAAGACAGACGACGAGCGATTGGAGCGATCGAACGGACAGTGTACTCACACATGCGTTCACCGGAGAGCATCCTTCGAGTGCGGACCACCCCGGAAATCAGGACCACCGCTGCGCACACAATCCCCATTTTGTTCGCCAGATCAACCAAGATAACTTTACGAACAAGCGTCCGTTGCCGAAACCGCGCCAAGGTGCCAGGCAGTGCCAGCAAAGAAATGTTATCACGGTTACTGCATTAAGACACTAAACCTAAACATGATTGATTGATTGATTTGTGGTGTTTAACGTCCCAAAACCACTATATGATTATGAGAGACGCCGCCGTGGAGGGCTCCGGAAATTTCGACCACCTGGGGTTCTTTAACGTGCACCCAAATCTGAGTACACGGGTCTACAACATTTCCGCCTCCATCGGAAATGCAGCCGCCACAGCCAGGATTTGATCCCGCGACCTGCGGGTCAGCAGCCGAGTACCTTAGAAACCTAAACATAGAGCGCAGCAGTTCGCAATAACTATCTGCGAAATCGGACAGCGCCTTGTTTTCCCACCATATCCGCTGAGCGAGCCAATGATGCCAATTTCAAAGACACAGTCGAACCCTAGATTAACTTTTTTAAACGTTACAGCCGCTTTATGCGGCATGTACTGCCTTCGATTTAACCTAAATGTCCTTAAGCTGCGAAATATCAGAGTTAATGCTTGAAAAAGTTTGTACACTCTTAAAAAAAAGTTAGTAAAAAGGTAGTAACTGCAAGCGAACAGGTAGTAACGACAACGGTTACTACCTTTCCTGAACCGTTCCTAGCTTCTTCCTACCTATTTACTACTTACATTAGTAAACAGTTGCAACCTAACTGCAATAGGGTAGCAACTGCAGCTGTTACTACCTCTCTTGAATTTTTACTACCTCTTTGCTACCTATTTACTACATACATTAGTAAGCAGTTACTAGCTGCATGCAAAGAAGTATAGTAGCTGCAACGTTTACTACCTCACTTGAGGTATTACTAACTTTTTCGTATTCTTGTTAGTAAAGAGTTGAAATGTTGAGTAGTTGAAGGTATTGAAATACAAATTCTATACTTGATCACGGTCTCTCTCTTCACCAAGCCCAGGGGTGGTTCATGACCCTTATATATATATATATATATATATATATATATATATATATATATATATATATATATATATATATATATATATATATATATATATATATATATATATATATATTATTCGAAGGTCGTTATTCGAAGGTCGCAGGTTCGGTCCCTGCCCACGGCAAAGTTATTTTTTCACCCACTTTTCTTTCTTCACGTTTACATTACAATTTGGTCTAATACCTTTCCCTATACTTTCCTCTTGGCATTATTGTCTGTTAGATCTCATTATTATTGTGTCAAAACACGCAAACACGAGCCCTTAATTATACACTTCTTTCCCTTATATATATATATATATATATATATATATATATATATATATATATATATATATATATATATATATATATATATATATATATATATATATATATATAGGCACCATGTGTAAAAAACAGAAAATATTCTATAGGTGTAAATTTTCACAGCTGTACATTTGCATAACTCTAAGCTAACAGGCCCTAAGCCGTAACTTTGTGGCTGCCCATTGTGTTTCATGTTGATTAACCGAAATTGTTCGCTGAATGATAATATTTCGGTTGCAGTTGAAGGTAGCAATTTCACATTAACAGCAGATGTGCGCATCAGATAGTCCAAAGTAACAATCATATCAATTATCCGCTCCGGATACTACTAAATAAACAGAGCAATATGTAACAAAGTAACCATGCACAATGCGTTTCACTATAAATGTGGTGGATATCATTTAATTTGTTATCACACAAAGTGCCATGCGCTCTGCAGCAATACAGTGGGAAGAGACCAATAACACTGATAAAAGAAAAAGAATGTAACAAGCTTTGGTTAGAAAACAGTAGATGAAAGGGTGCATCAGGTACAGTAAAAGATAAATACAGTAAAGACAGCACACTAGAAACCATACACTAAAAGAGAGATGTAACATAAAATCATACGTCATCTTCAGTTGCGTAGCCAGGGAGGACATTTCCAAATACACAAACTCCAGAGCAAAAATATATGAAGTATGACTGAAACCCCTCTCCTAAAAAAACATTGGCTACGCTACTAGTAGTTTAGATTCAGCCCGTGACAAAAAGCTGTCTAAGATGACAATTTGGACATCATTCAACAATCATAATTTCAGGCCGTAGCATCAGCTCAGCACCAAAATATAGGTCAAGAACTTGAGGTGATGGAAGATTGAAGGGCTGTACAAGTTTTTGCTCGTCTGTATTGTCGACAACATACGACCAGCGGTGACGATCGAATCTGACTGTCATGAGCACATCTACAAGCAGGAAAAGGCTTCCGCAGTAAATATACA